GTCTATGGCACAGTGAAATATCTTAATCAGTCAACTTCCCCTATACAAATATTCTAGGAAAGTCTAAATATGGAAACTTGAGAGTATTCAAAATAAGGCAGAAAAATATTTTTACCAGATGTTATTAAAGTCATCAATTTGTCAGATTTCTTGCAGAATATTTAGATTTGTTCTGTTAGTACTGAAGTATTTTAATGCTGAGGAGTTTTTAAATACTTGCTAGAAATAATTTAAGGAGAAATAATTACTCAGATGTTTTGTCCAAGTCAACTCACAACCATCATAGACATACTTTGCAGTAACTATGTGATCAATTTAAACTGGTATCCAGATGTTTTTCTACAAAGACAGACCTTTTATTCTTGGGTTTTTATTGAAGACTATTTGAATGAGAACATTACAATAATTCACAGCCTGAAATTTGGGGCATTGTGAGCTGGAAACTCAGAGAGAAAAAGGCTTCAATTGGGCACCTTCAGGGAAAAATACCCATTCATGTTCAACTGAAGTTGGAGCTAAAAGCCATATGACTCAAACCTCAGAAAAAAAAAAAATTCTCTGTGTAGCTCTGATAACTGGTTGTGGAAAATCCAGATAAAACAAGATAACATAAATTTCCTTGCAAACTCGCACACAGGGTATTGTCACTGAATCCCTCTTTCCTTGTAAACTAGGTACTGTTTCCTTTCTATTTTTAGGTTTCCAGTAACATCAGCTTTTCCATTATTGTGATTGTAAAGAACCTGGAGCTCAGAAGCAAGGTAAGAGGTCCAGGGTGAGTGTTAATTGATAGGGCTTTAGCTGTGAGGTTAGTGAAAGTGAAATCACTACCAGGAGTGACTGTTAGGGAAACATGGTTAATGACACGCTTCCAAGTATGGGGCCTGAGTAGTAAGGGGTTTTCAAGGGGCACATTAGAAACTCCTGTCCTTGTGCAGTGTGAGAGTGGATGGTGGAAGTCTTCTTTGTGTGCAGGATTTCTGAATATTTAGACAAAGCGTGAAATTCAAACAGCATTGGAGACATTGTTTGGTGTTGTGAAAATCTAATAAAACAAATGATTTTTTTTACCTCCCTGTGGTATCTGGAGTGTGTGTGATTTGACAGACACAAAGTGGCCATTTTCATATCATTGTTAATAAAGAAAACAAGCCTATTTGAGCTGTGAATGACCTCAAGATATTTGTTTCCAATATCATGTTAATTTCATATACTTTTGTATCCAAATTCTTCAGGAGAAAATCAGTGGTGTTGTTTTATAAGATAGTAGACTGTGAATATAGATTTGCATCGTATCATGTGTGTTTTCTTTCCATATTACTATAAATACTATTAAGCCATAAAAAAGGAAAGCCTGCTATTTTTAACAACATGGTTGGGCTTGAGTGCATTATGATATATGAAATAAGTCAGAGGGGAAAACATAGATACTATACGATCTCACTTATACACGGAGTCAGAAAGAAAGGAAAGGAAAAGGAAGGGAGGAAGGGAGGGAGGGTGGGTGAAATATATGTGATCAATCTTATAGAACAGATTGTCTACCAGAGGTGGGGTAGGAGTGAAATTGGTGAAGGAATCAAAAGGTATAATTTCCAGTTACAAAATAAGTAAGTCCTGGGAATGCAATAATGTACAGAATAATAACTATAGTTACTAATGCTGTATTGCATATTTGAAAGTTGCTAAGAGAGTAGATCTTAAAATTTCTTATCACAAGAAAAAAATTGTAACTATATGTGGTAAAAGATGTTAACTAGACATTGTGGTGATCATTTTGCAACATATACATATAGCAAATCATTAGGACTGAAACTATAATAGTATAATGTTATATATCAATAATGTCTCAATAAAAAATAAAGCTATTTTTTATATCCTAAATTAAAGAAAACCTACAAGTGTTAGGATCACATTCATTAGCATAGGACGTCACTGGAATTTATTCATGGCCTGATATAATTTCAATAATTGTTATGTTGAACAAGAAGCTATTCATTTACATTGAAGAGCCCTTCAATGCCACCTAGAATTTAGTTACAGCTGTAAGATTAAAAGTGCATTAAAACTTCAGAGGAGAAGGAGGTTGAGGGACTGGATGAGAGAGGGTGACGGAATTAGCCAAAAACATATATGTGTGTGTGAGACAACAGTAAATGATAGCCAGAGGAAAGGGTGGTGGGGTTAGGTGGAGGTGGGAAAGGGTGCGGGGGGATGGGGTGGAAAGAGACTTTGCTTGCTTGGGGCAATGGGCACACGATGCAGGGTGCAGACAATGTTTTACCGAGTTGCACGCTATGTGATTCTGTGAACCATGCCACCCCAATAACTTCAATTTAAAAAAAGCGTTACCATTTCAGGCTGACCTAGGGAGCAACAAAGTAGAAAGGAATCATCAACATTTCTGATTATAAAAAAAAAGTGGGCAGCGTTGGGGGAAAGGGAATAACAAGCCCAGGTAAGTGGGGGGAAAATAAAAACAAGCATAAACAAACTATTGAGTAGGAACAACAGACTCCTCAGACTTAAGACTATTGCACTCAAGTGGATGGATCCATTTTGAAAGTTACTCCAAATTGTCATCCCTGGTAACATGATAGTTAAGAAGAAAAGGACAGGAGTCAGCACAATCTTGAATCCTGAGAAATGATTAGATCTAAAAAGCCACATAAGGATATTTTAAAACATCACATATAATGAGTATGATAGCATTGATTGTAATAATTTGGCAAAAGCAGCACCCACAATGGAATCTAATCAGATCACTTTATAAAAAAGTGATCAGCCTGAGGGTATAATTTGAACATAAATTTAAAATGATATCTAGAGACTAGAGTCATAAGTACAGTATAGTCACAAGGATAGTATAAGAGATAGGACAAAATGGTCCTGGACAATAAGTAACCTTTATTCACAATTATAGTTCTTACACCGCATTCAGAAGGAATCGTTGCTAATAGATATTTTTCTTTACTCATGCACAAAACCTTTTCACCTATAAATTATATTTGTCCACTATCAACTCTAGGCTTTTCTGTTAAATACATTCTCCATATCTGAAATAAGTACTATGAAGACACACACACACACACACACACACACACGACGTATCTGAGTCTGTATGAAAGAATATACTCCATCACTAATTTCCACTAATAAATGATGTTTGACCCTCATAATTTGGGATTATAATTTGCATTTAATACCCAGTTCTTTCTTGTTGAATCAGATGCATAGTGTCTATTTAAATTTATCAAACAGGAGTACAATAGAGGCTATGTGTACCATTTTGTAGGATCCCAGTAAGACAGTTCATTTTTATAAAGTAAAGCGTTTATCTTATGAAAACTATTTTGCTGTGAAATTTATTTAAATACACTATTTAGTCTATTTAAAATATTGCTTCAATAGTAATTCAGTACTGAATTTTGAATTATTCAAAAGTTAAGCGCTAACTTTTATAATTAACCAATGTTGACCTCTGGAAATTCTAGTTTCAATTAGGTTAAATGAGCAATATATCGGGCTGAAATATTTTAAAACTTCACATATTTTTAAATTTGGAAAAATTTATTATTCACAATTCTGAGAAAGCCTAATCAAAATATTCTCTCTGATTCTTTTTGTCCCTAAAAGGAATATATTTCTCATGAAAATGAAGTATGATAGTAAAATCGGTTCACTTAATGGAGTCATGACTATTCCTTTTCCCAAGAAGGCATTTTTTAAGTGAGTTAAAATTCTGGCATGTTATGGTTCTGTTATGAATCTGTTATGGTTCATTGTGCTTCATTATTCTTTGAGTTATGTAATTAAATAATCACATGAAATAAAAACATGGTGTGCCTATCAATCAAAAGAATTCTATGCATTAAAAAAATCAAGAATCAAGTGCCAAGAATGGTCCATCTTATGAGGGCCTCAACTATAATGAAAATAAATGGTTAATTCACTAATAAGACATACAGGATAATTTCTAGAACTCTAGATGGTCATGCATTCTTAATTACAACCCAAGTTTCAATGTCATATTGCCAATCACTGACATACTTTGAGAGAAAAAAATATGTGCAAAATAGTCAATGAAATCCAAATAAAACCAGTTGATATTAGCATTGTCCTTTCCCCAACAGAATGTTAAATGACACAGCCTAATCAATTTGTGATTGTTATCATCTACAAAATACGGTATCAGAAGAACTTTTCAAACATGAAACACACATGTCTGCCTAAAGATCCAATGGACCTTCCCTTCTTGACATTTGCATTCCACCCTGTTTTTTGTATACTCATTACATCCTGCAGCGAGGAAGGATATATCTAAAACATTTTTTCCTCTCTGACTATTGCAGCTGCCACCAAGAAATAAAAGTTGCTAGAGAAATCATGTATACACATATATGTAAAATTAGGGAAACAAGCTGCTTTATTGCCCTGATTTAAAATAAGCTCAATCAGTAGAAAAGAAAAAGGCTACAATATACAGCTTGATGAACAGCTGAAGACAAGAATATACTTGAAAGCAGTTTTAGAATTCAGGATATATCTCACTCAATGTTTGAATAAGACGAACATTTCTCCTCTTAATTTTTCTAAACTACTGAATGAACAAGTAGCATTTATGTGGGGAATGGAAACCAAAATAGCAGATATATAAAAATTATTTAAATATGATTCTGAGGCTTTAAAGGTGGAAAAAGAAAGGTCTTGCTTCTGTTTAACTTTAATTTATAAAATTATATCATTTTGCAAATCCTAATTTATAAAAATTCCATTTTAAAAAATATTTTTCACAGTCAGCATTACAATTTAAATTTTGAAAAACTGATTAACAATAATCCTTTAGTAGGAAAACAAATATATTGACTACATTTCAAAGCAAAAATTAGAATATGGATTAGTAAGCTTACCAAGATTAAATTGAGAGGCATTTTAATCATGATCTCACAAGCCTAGTTGGAAAAAAGACATTGGAAGTATATGAAAAATGAAAGCCTTACTCTTGACGGTCGCTGTCCGGGTGCAGTTGTAAAGAATAGCCAACTCCCCGAACACTTTTCCTGGACCCATGGTGCACAGCTTCACACCTTCTTTTGTAACTTCAACCTTACCATCTAAAAAGAGGAAGGGAAAACATTATTTTAATTCTCCTTTATGTTCCATTTTATTTGTTGCTTTTGCAATATGCAATGAGGAGTTCTGGGCTCATTTTTAAAAATGCAAAGCAGTTAAATGAAACAAATTCATCATCAATTAAAACAAAGTCATCATCAAGATGTAATACAAGAAATGAAACAAAATATACACATCCTTTCTTAAATTAATCACGGATAAGGTTTGAGATGAGACTGAAGGAAATTCCAGAAAGAGATGGAGGAAAAATGTAAACATACCAAATCATACCAAATATACTATTAGAACACTATGTTAATTCCCATTTTAATGTCATTTTGAATCTGAAAGAAAAATGGAATAAGTGGGTACATTTTCTACAGCACACTTCATACTTGAGATTTCTTATTTGAATAAGGCAGCTATTATGGAAAGGGAGATTACTTTGACCCTTGGGCATTACTTTATTGTAGCTTATGGTATCTTTTATTTTTACGCATCTTATCTGACTTGAGTAAGGCTGTTTCATTTGCTTCTCAGCCTTGCAACATTCCCTGTAAGGAAGAACAAACAACAAGGGCTGAGGGAAAGAAAGAGACACTGGGAATGTTTATGTCCCCCCTAGGACCTGGAGAATGAAAAGCTAAAGAAGAAAAATGCTAAAGAAGCATTCTACACTGGATATACATTATTGCCTGCAAGTAAGGGAAATGATATTCATAAGGGAAATGAAAAAAAAAGCCCCAACAAACCACACATTAAAAATAAAAGCCATAGCTATGTACATAAGAAATTCTATCGCCTAATACAACAAGGGGAGAAATAGAAAGGGAACAATCTATACTGGAGTTAATCCTCTTATTCTATTATTTCTCCAAGTTACTTAGCCACATTCTACACAAGAAAAGGCTAATGCTTGTCATGAGTTAGTGACTGAAAGGCACTTAGTCTAACAAGGTTTTTTTCAAACTTGAGCCCTTCATGCATCAGCTTCAAAATTAATCCTTTATCTGTGTGCTTCCTGTAATATTTAATTTTTTAGAGTTTTGGCTTTAAATTCACTCCTTTTAAAAAACCAATCTAGTTTTATCAAAGCAATAATATCTGCAAAGTCACAAGTCTGATGTGCTAATTTATTTTTTCAAGCACCTATTGAGATAAGATCTTAAATATATAAAAAAACCTTTTTCGAAAAGTTTATCCATGTCAGAAGACATTGTTCTATCCTGAAATCCATTTCCTTTAAATGGCATCAATGGAGAGAAAATTCTGCAATAATCAGGATAAAATTCCACACAAAATCTATTCACTACCCTTGACCTGTTTGCATGTCCTCTCTCTGTGCAAACAAGCTATTCAGGAATGACCAAATCCAGCAATTCAAAAGGTGTGGGAATACTTACACAGACATGGCCACTCAAATATCTTTTTTTTCATGTCTTACTCCTTGACTGCAGGGAAAAAACATTCTTTTCTTGATAGGTAAATCAAAATCAACCCAGTAAATTCATATTTTCATAAGTTTGAGATTCCTCCATAACATCTTCCATCTTTTATTTCAGTGACAAGCCTATGCCCCTAGAAATTTCATCTGCCACTCAAAAATAGACAGGCTCAAAATATAACATGGTTAAGAAATTTATTTGCTGTTTGAAGTCAGACCAGGTATTGAGTTCTGGTTCTCCTGTTGATTCCTCACTAGCCTTGGGCAAGTTGTTAATTTCTATATGTCTCAGTTTCTTCATTGATAAAATGGATAAAAGAAAAGCACCTATCTCAATGGGTGGTAGACAAAATGAAGTGAGATAAAGCAGGTACAATGCTAAGCACAGTGCCTGGCATATAGCAACTGATCAATGAACACTAGGTCTTATGATCTGTATTATTTTCATTTATTATACTTCTTTCTTATCATTTAAAAAGAAGTAGATTACACTAAAACATAATATCAGAGAAACCGAAGTTCATGTACAGTAACAGGTTTTTGTTGTTTAAATGAAGAAAGGTATTGTTTCAGATTCTTTCTCCATTGGGTAGGGGGAAAGTTGAGCACTTTTAGGTTCAAATCATTCATCACACCTAAAAAGAAAAAAAACTAGAATCTTAAGAAAGCACACTGATCTACCTGTAGTTAATGCAATATCTTTGTACTCTTCCATAGTTGGCTATGTCTAACCAACATTTGATATACAGGCTGGGGCAAAAGTAGGTTTTCAGTTATTGGGATTTGAATTATTGGCCCTGTATTATTGCTTCAGCAACTATTACAAAATTTTCTTGACTTGATGCTCTAGCTGCACTTATATTAATAAAACTAAAAGCAAAGTAAACAAAGCCTAAGGAACTTTCATACATAACTTATTTTGTACAAGTCTTCTTCTCTCTTTGGCCTCCACAGTTAAAAGTCTTCCGTGGAAAGGGCCTCATAGGAATAAGATCACCAGGAAGAATCTTGCTGCATTGTTTGAGAATTACACATTCTCAACCAATAGTCAGCCTAAATAAATAACAAGAAAAAACATCAGGACTTCTTGTACCTCAGTGATGTCTAAAAGGAAGTCTGTAGGCCAGCCATATCAACGCTAATTTATGAAATTCAGATACTTCCTCCCTCCAGGAAGGTGTAAATGTTCCTCCCCCACAATGACCGCTCTGCTGGGTCCCGTTGCCTCTCACTTCCCTGAAAAACCGTGATCATATCATACTGATCTGTTTTACCTTGTGGACAATTAATGTTGTAAATGATCATGTTTCCATTTCTCATATGACCTCTATGAGGCTCACAGCCAGAATTGTCTGATGCTGGGGTTTGAAATTTATGCATAAGCTTATTTCTGGTTCCAACTCATTTTCCTGATTTATATTTGCCTAATTTTTTCATGTCTAAGTCATTTTTTAAAAAAGAAAGAAATAATTATATATATATATATAATTAGCATTGGTAACAGAAGGTTATATTCAATATCAATTAGAACAGCAAAAAAATAAAGACTTGCTTAGATTTTATTTGAGAAATAGAAATTTAGATGTAGAACATCTTTTCCAGGTTAAGTCAAATACTGAAGATTCAATATATTCACAATAGTCAAGGAAGTCAGGGATCTGATCTCATATGATAGTTAAAAATTGTCCACAAAAAATAAAAAAAAAAACAAACATTGTATTTTTTCAAACAACAGAAAGATCTCAATGATAAACAGAAACATAGTGTTTGTAAATATTTCCCTGAGTGGTAATTTGGTTGTTTACCCTTCCTGACACCCCTTGTGGGAATGGGGAGTGATTTGGAGAGGCAGGACTGGTGCTAAAAAGAAAGCTGGGTGTACACATGGCAGTAATGAGAGTTCTTTCAGAGACATTTAGAAAGAGTCTAATTGCCAAGAGCCCAGTGAGTTATTGATGTGAAATATGAATTTGGTTAAGCTCATTTACTGTGCCAGAAACTAACCTTGAAGCAAAATTAGAGGTGATTATACATTTACAGATGATTTCCAAATATATTCTGTGTGATTCACTTAAGAAAACTAAGACTAAACAGTTAAAACTTTACTCCTACACTCTGTGGCCCTTATTGCCACCTAATTAACTTGATTTGAAGTATTAGGGCCATCTTAAAGCCACTCCCCTCATCTTTGACTCCTTTCTTTTCCATTCAGGGGTTACCTCTGAGGTTTGTTTTGAATGGACTCTATTTGCATAGAAAGTAGGAAGGGCTGCGTGTGGCTCTTTGGGTGGTTGGGGGAGGAATGTGGGTACGACAGCAGCAGGCTGGGCATGGAGCATGCTCTTCCCAGAGGCTTATGTGAGTGTAGAAACAGAGCACACTTGGAGGTTTCTATATAATTATAACTTGCTATTAACTTTAAGAGTGCATTTTGATGAATTTACTTCATGTTAGCAGTGATTAATTAATTTATATTTTTTAAAGAAATAGAAGAGATTAATTATCATGTATTCATGGCTGTTTCAATACTTCAGTTTCATTTTCAAATATGTTAGATTTCAAATCAATGTTTTTCAAGAGTAGCTGAAAGATATTTTCAGAACATCCTAGTAAAGTTCTGGGTTTTTTCCATTATTTTCCCTGACAGACATTGACTAGAGGTTACCAGAACTGTTATTTGGAGAAGTAATGATATTGCAAAATATTGTTAATCTATATATTCTGCTTCTGGTTTTTTTATTCACATTTGCTTTTTTTTTAAAAAGTATGATACTATATTGGTGTTATTTTTACTATGCACCATCCCCACTCAGAAAGAAAAGCAAAGACACATTCAAATCATTCTTATTTAGATTTTGCTAAATTGTAGAAGTTGTTTGCATGAGATATGTTGGAACAGTTGGTTAAAATAAGGTTTATTTATAGTTTCATTTAGCTCTTTTATCACTCCTGCCATTGGCATGACTAACTAAAAGCCCTTTTACAGTATCTTGAATGTATTCTTTTTTTTTAATTCTATTTCACTTACCATATGCCCATTTATGATCTGGAACGGGCTGAGTCGTAAGTCCTGAATCTTGCCACTTTGAGAAACAGTTAACCTACCTCCTGCTTTTTGGCACTACAATTCACATACCACATTTTATGTATTCTTTATAAGAGTCAGTAGGTCCTATAAATAAGGGATTGAGTTTACAAGGAGACCCAGAGTCTCCTGGCTCTATTTTTATGTTTTTTTCACTAACTTGTGGATTTTTGCCATAAGAACTTTCATAATGGCAAATCAGCTTAGAGATTAAGTGCTGACAGGCTGGAATAGAGTGACGGGCAATAATCTAATTATAAACACTGTGCTCAGTTCCAACAGTCTTGGTTGGAATACTCAGGACAATGTGACTGAACATTAAAGGGAGGCAGGTGTTGTATCAAAGGTCCCATGTAGACAAGACCTCCTCTGTCTTTTCTCATCTAATCTGTTTAACTATACTTTCAGGATTTTGTAGGTCTAAGACGACAGACAAGGGTTTACATTAGCATTTCCACACAAGGGTTTCTGTA